GTTAGCGACCGCGACCCCAAGTTCACTTCAGAGTTTTGGAAGAACCTGAATAGGCTGCTCGGCGTGCAGTTGAGGATGTCAATAAGCAACCATCCTCAGACGGATGGTCAATCTGAGGTCATGAACAAAATGCTCGAGACTTATCTCCGTCTGTTCTGCAATTATCATCAGAATAACTGGGATCAGCTACTTGCTACTGCAGAATTTGCTTACAGCTCATCCGTCCACGACACTACTGGGTACACTCCTTTTTCTTGGATCTTGGATGCGAGCCTCGGCATCCCTTGCACTTTCTGTGCAATGAGAGCTCTCCCGTACAAGCAGTCTCAGAATTACAAGTCATTTTAAGAGAAACGTTTAAGGATGCACAGCGAGCATATCAGCACGCTCGGAAACAACAGTTGCGGCACGCGGAGAAGCATTTTCGACCGCATAATTATACTATTGGGGACAAGGTCATGGTGAAGAGCAAGTTCTTACGAGATTCATATAATAGGGGCCAAGTTTCCGTGAAGCTGCAAGCAAAGCAGTTAGGACCGTTTGAGATTGTCGCGCTTGTAGGTCCCAATGCAGTCCGTTTGAAATTCCCTCCGAGCTTCAAGGCACATCCCGTCATCAATGTATCGTACACCGACAAATACTACGAACAACCCGAAGAGCTATCTGTCTCAAAGCCGGCTCCACCACTGCCGGTTCAACTCACCGAAGGAACAGAATAATATGTCGAGACGATCTTGCAGCATCGTCGACGCGGCAGAGGAATGCAGTTCCTAGTTCAGTGGAAGGGGCAACCTTCTCATGAATCTACGTGGGAACCTTTGCGCAATCCCGTGGATGCCGATGGGACAATCAATGAACAGCTCCAAAATTACTTGCTGGAAAACGAAATGAATGACGCGGACGTCATTCCAAGGAGGAGGCATTAGTGCAACGTGTCATATGTGACTCTCAAATTATTATTCTAAATGATTCAGGGAGAGTGTACGAATATTGCATAATGAGCAAGGGAGAGTGCACGAATATTGCATAGACAAGAAATATTATTTCATGTCGCACACCAGGGGAGTTATCGGAGAGTTATCGGAGAATTATTGGAGAGCCTTACAATGCAGCAAATAGTATAAGTAGAGGAGAGTTATAATGCTAGCAGAAAGAAAGAACATCACTTCCATCAGCTTGAAGTTCAGTTCCGTTCGAGAGTTCCCGCTACAGTTTCGGTACACCAATTCCATCTTGTTTCCTGATGTACGACGCTTCCATTCTTTTCCAATTTCCCCATTTGCCCGCATGGCTTTCCTTGCGAAGAATGAGAAAAGCTTATTCTTCATGCGGATGTCATGTCCGTCGTGCACATGTTCAAACAGCGCCCTCGGCGGCAGTTGAACTTCAACGACGGGACCTTCCGCAGGAGCTTCTGCTCTCCTTGCAGTGGTTTCCAGAGATTTTGGCGAGCTCCCTCTGTCCACAGCAACCCATCACAGCTCAGTAAAGGGCGCAGGAGCGCTTGGAGCGTCGCGTTGCGTTGGAGTTGTTAAGAATGGTTTATCCCCTGCACGCCACCGGGGGGAACGCTTCGGCAATCCTTCCATTTTCATGCAATCGCAATAGCTAAAAGCACCACTAATGGAGAACCGCAAGGGGCGGGAGGTTCGGCGCAAATACAAATGAAAAGGGAAAGAGATGTGTGGAAGTTCAGACAAAAGAAAGAATCGCTCCCTGCAGTAGATGCCTCTAAAAACCGATCCTCAATGTTTCCTGAGCTGGGTTGATGCTTGCCACTTGCGGCACTCCTCACGCTACAAGCAGGCCAGGGCAATCACACCTCCCTTTCTGATTTTTGCTTCGATGTCAAAAAAAGATTAACATCGAACTAACCAATTAATAGGCTGCAGGTAACTCCATGATATTGTGAAGGCGATTGATCAAGATTTCTTTTGAGTTAGAACCGGCTCTGAGACTGCATCTGTACATGCAGTGCAGAATAAAACGGTCTTCGCGCGGAGACGCTAGCAAAAGAAAAACAACGAATTAAGTTTGAAATTCCCGCTAGGCAGATAAAAATTCAAGAAGAAGGCAGTTTGTAGGAGAAGACAAGCAGCTAGAAGTTTTGTTACTGTACTTTGTTCGTATTAACTAGTTTTCCTTTCAGAGTAGTGCTCGTGGCTTGGCCTTCTCTTGTCATGAACTTCGCGCACATGACGCTGAATCCGAGTGCGCTTTCCGTACGACTTTGGGCATAATTTGCATGTAAAAATATATCCTCCATCGTGTTCATTTTCCATGTGAGCTCTAAGCCTACTTCTCTTCGAGAAAGACTCTTTGCAATGCTTGCAAGAAAAATCTGCTGTTTCCGAATGCATATCTCGTTTGTGAAACTCCAGCCTTCTAGTACCAGCAAATCTAAGACCACAGGTCTGGCATTTGTGCTCCTGGCCAGGCTGATGTTCACGCCGCTCATGTCTTTGCAGTCCTCCACTCGTCACGAAGCCCGCGTTGCAATAGGAACACCGTTTCTTACTACTGTGGACGTTACGAACGTGGGTCACGAGAGCTCGACGCCCATTGTATGACTTGTAGCACGTATCGCATTTGAAAAGCTCTTGAGTCTCAGATAGGGCTCCTGGTGGGAGCTTGCTTCCACGTCTAGTGCCACGACTGGAATGAGATATGCTAGGCAGGCTTTGGAAAGAGGATAAGCCATCGAATATAGCTCCTGGTGGGAGCTTGCTTCCACGTCTAGTGTCACGACTGGAATGAGATATGCTCGGCAGGCTTTGGAAGGAGGATAAGCCATTGAATATAGAACCCGACGCCTCGCTTGCGTTTCCGCCTGATCCCTTTTGTGCACAATTAATCTCTATAAGGCAATGCTCCCGGAGTTTTTCCCTGGTTGTAAAGATTCTGCGGCACCTCGAGCAGTCAAATTTGGAGGGTCCAGCCCCTCTACTACTACTGTTTCTAGATGCAGACATGTTCCTGTGGTGCAATGGATGTGGGTGCTTTTGAAAAGATTGGAATGATTTAGTGTTGGGTGGTGTTGATTGTGTGTGATGAATATTGCTTGAGGGAGAGTGTCTGCGACATTTCCATGTGCTCAGTTAAATACTTAAATACGCAGTAGAAGAAAGTTGGAAACATGCACAAGCATGGGTTGGTGGACTTCAGCAACGGGTTTTCACGTTTCTTCATCCTTCCCCAGGCATTATCAATTTCACGTCCAGCAGTAGTGAAGTAAAAACATCATATGAAGAAGCGGGTGGGTGGGGTGTAATGTTGAAGCGATACAATAGAGCAATTTCAAAAATTGCGTCTGAGGGGCAACGGCCGTTTTTCTTCGCTTATGAACATTGGGTTGAGATAGGTTCCTGTTTCACGTTTATGGTGCGAAAGGGCGACCGCTTGCAACGTTTTTTACAGTTCCTATGTACATTAGACATTCGTTAAAATCCAAGATCGGAGCTTCGTGAGACACAGGTGAATAATTTCTATTACAACGACGGCTTTTTGGGGTTTCCAAAACCATGCTATATCGTTTTAAAAGGGGTTAACGACCTGTCCAGAGGCGACGTCATCGTTTTTAGGTACGCTGTCATGTGTGTCCAAATAAAAGCATTGGACAGCGACCATTAGCTTTGCTCCCTACATATCGTTGTCTGTGTACCCTGATGTGGATGTGAAATTGCGTAATGCTCGTTCCCTCCTACTTTGGAACAATATATGAAGGACTTTACCCGTTTCATGGTGCGAAATAAACGCAGTGACCTTGATCAGAGTTCCTTAGAGGGAAATATCAGTACCGGAATTTTTTCCTTGTTACAAGGCAGTTTAGAAAGCAAGCATAGTACTGCGATATGGTGACGGGAGATAAAATGTGCGGAAGGTTCTACTAGGAAGGTAGGAAGTCTGAGAAAGAACATTTTCTGTGAAAGATGCAGGTGTTACTTTAGCGCGAGGGAAGACCTAGAGGTTCACAACTTAGTGACACCTTAGGGGATTAGGGGATTAGTAATGCAGGCGCGCAGCGTCTTGCGCCGCCGCGGCAGAGCGCGGCATATGGGTCGCAACACGTGACGTGCGCGCTGAGTCGGCAGCGAGACGGCGAAGGCTATCTGGCAGGCGGTGAGCCACGGAGCCCTGCAGACGAAGATAGTGCGTGGGGGCGGCGGGCGTGGCATGTAGGAAATATTTGCAATGAGACCGAGAAGGATCTTTGGGGGGGGACCCGATTTTGACGGGCGTCGGCGGGCGTGTTGCCACGCGGTGTGGACGCGGTGTGAAGGATCTTTTGTTGCCGTTCCCCGCTTGAGGCTGCTGCGGCCACGGTCATGAGGCGGAGTGGTAAGCCGGTGCGGCGGAGCTGTCGGAGGCCGACTGAGGGATGGGCTAAACCGGGCGACCGTTGGATTCGGCTACTCTGCCTTTAATGGAAACAGAGTATCGCTAGCGTACAGATGAGTGTTTTCGATTAACATCGAGTCGACGTTGGCTACAGGTGTCGGAGACTCGCCGGCGACTCTGCCGTCCGGCTCTGTCGTCCTCCCTTTTCCCTGTCTTCCTCTCCGGCTGAAGGACGAGGCCATCGGCAGCGATGACGAATGCACTACTGTACACGTGTTACTGTTGTCATATCTAATAATAATTACACCCAAAACAATTACACCAAAAATATGTTACATTGCCGCCTACCTATGGTACCCGAGGGGTACCGGAAGAGTACAGTACAAGTTTGTATGTGGTTCCTCCCCCCTCGCCTTCAATCCCGCCCCCACTTCCTCCGTTCTCACTCTCACCCTTCGTCCGGCGTACTGCTATTCGTACTGCTATTCGATCTGTCCCGCCGCAACGCCGCAAGTTGGGCTACCACCTCTGCGTTGTTGTCTTCCTCGACCGCCATCTCGTACAACTCTATCGCTCGACCCCTGTCGCGGGCCACCCCGTCCGCCCCGTCCTGCATCATGTCTCCGAGACGCACCATTGACCAGCTCTGCTTCTGTTTCTCGATGTCCATCTCAAACAGCTCCACCGCACGCACTGCATTGCGCTCCATCCCTTGCCCTCCGTCCCTCAACGTCATCGCAAAATACCAAGTCGCGTTACCGGAATTTCCTTTCGCCATTGCACGGCCATACAATGCCACAGCTCGTACCGCGTCACGTTCCACACCTTCTGCACCTTTTTCGAGCAAAACACCGAGGTTCACCATCACATTGACGTCGTCACCCTTCTCGATTGCGCGCTCAAACAGCTCCATAGATCGTGTCCTTCCAGGCGGATGAAGTGTGGTTTCAGGTCTATGCGCGGTTGCTTAGTACTATAAATGAATCGACTCTGTTGCAGGAGTGTACAGCGGATATCGAACGGGATGCGAAGAGGCCGTGGGTGAAGACAATAACGCCATGCCTCACTAGCCTGCAGTTTCTGCATCGTTTATTGGCATGCGGTGGGCGCGTTTGCGGGACGAGTGTTGGGACGGGAGGGGGAAAAGTGGTGGCCTGGGGTGTTTGCAATGAAAGGGCATTCTTGTGTACGTTGTTGAGGGATGAACTGGAATCAAGGTTATTGTTGCAGACTGAAGAGGACAATGTGGTTGGAACTACCACCGGTATCAAGGAACGGTGTCCTTCGGGGATGGGAATCTGCAAATGCCGGAAACCCCCATGACGATGGCAAGGAAGTTTCGTGGATAGGCTGTTCACGAATCGGCGAAGACGCTATAACTGTTCACGAGGATGAGACGATCCGGGCCTGGGCCATGGATCCAAGAGGGATTGCTGTACATCCCCTTACGCTGAGCGCTGGCGAAAAATATCACTTGGCATTGTCGCCGGATTGAAGGAGAATAGCGATGACAGTGCCAACCTGCGGGGGTCAGGAGTTTGCGTTTGGAGGGGGCCGGGCGAAAGGGTGAGGGAGCAGTGTTTTGTTTTCCCACTCAAAAAATTCGCCGTATAAAACCTGGCCGACCTGCACCACACCAACAAACCATGGCGTCTCAGGCGGTGGTTGCTACCTGAAATCGCTGTTTCATTCCTGGTCATTGACGATCAGCTGGATCTACAATGAAGGTTTTCGAGAGCGCAATGGACAGTGAGGCCATATTCGAGAAGGATGGATCCGGGAGACGCAATCTCTTGGGACTGAATATTGTTTTTGGAGAGGAAGACAATGTTGAAGAGGTATACTACGCATCGATACTATATCAATCTTTTAGGTTCCACTGAGAAGGATGAAGAACACCTCATGCCAGACGACATGAGCGCAAGGCTTGACATGATCGACCTTGAGAAACTGAAAGAGAGCGCCGGGCGGCACATGTTCAAGGACATATTTCCTAAATTTGACCCTGGGCACTTCACAGCAGCTTCGTTGGAGCCATCGGAGGGCATCTTCCTCAAGAAACCGCCCCTGGTTGTTCCTTTCCCTGAATATCTCGAGGAGCTTAAGATGGTGAAGGATGACTTCCTGGTGGAAGCTCGGGCGTGTGAGGTGCTGCGACACTCACCGCATCCCAATATCGCGAAGTTTTTGGGATGCCGCGTGCAAGGTAATCGAATCACGGGATTCTTCTACGAGCGGTGCGTCGATTTTATGGGGCTACGTCAACCAGTGAACGTCGAAAAGTTCATAGATGATGTGAGGAAGGGGATTGAGCACTTGCACAGCTTGGGATACTGTCACAATGATATATGCCCCTTTAACATCTTCGTGAAAAAAGACGGCACAGCGACCATCATCGACTTCGACTCGTGCCGCCCTGTAGGTGAGACTTTGACAAAGAGGGGAAACGGCGGGTTCTTCGATAAGGAAGCAGACGCAGCATCTAAAGTCAACCCAGTCTCAGCTTTCGAGCACGACTGGTACGGACTGAGAAAGACGAAGGAGTGGTTAATTGAGTGGAACAAGCAAGTATCTCGCAAGCAGAATTCTGGATAATGCATAAGCACGCTGTTCACAAATTGATCACTTTAACAAGGGCTTATTCAGTCTAGCTAGTGAGTTTTAGTTTAATGTTTTGCACCCCTGAGGAAATCTACAATTTGAACACAATAAAATGGATTTCATCCGGTAGTCTGCCCTTGAAGATTTCAAGATCACTGTCAAGAGGAAGAACCTGACGGCGGTTCTGATGGATCGGCGATTGCAACCTGTTTGGGCGAGGAGCGTTACGACGCTGTCAATGTGGGAGGGTTGCGAAATGTGTATCCCCTCTGGGACGTACCGAATTTTCCAGTTGAGGTAGGGGGTCGGTCGTCCCATTCGTTTCACTATATATTTTTTTGGAGTGTGTGGTACAGTGAGTCGATCATGGTTTTTGTTGTGGTGGTGACACCTTACTGCTCAGAGACGGGAACATCTCGATATGTTGAAGTTATTCCTAAATCATGCATCGAAGGCAAGAGACCAAGCGAGCGATAAACGTCGTGAAGCGTGCCCACAGAAAAAGAAGATTAGCAGAATATTTACAAGTACTTTAGTGCTACTAGTCTCCATCCGACCAAGCGTTAACATAACATACAAAACTGCGAATTTTATTTCTTTTCAACTTTGATGTCCACGGGTTCTATTTTTCTTTGGCAGGTTGACCCATTCCAAAAAAATTTCTAAAGTTAGAACCGAACAGAAAGCACTCAACACAATGTTTCTATGCTACTGGTATAAAATTAGCTTAAAGAAAAATGCGCATTGTAAGCCGACGTTTTCTTTTGAACAGCTTTATGTGCGTCAACGAATTGGTTTCCGCTAAAATTGACGAGCAAAATGCTTTACCTGTGGCGATGGACTTCTATTTGCAAAAAAACACAGAAGTTAATGCGTTGTCTGGAAAAAATAAAAATAACTTTTGTCCTCATATGAGGACTAACCATAACAGTCCGATAGACACTATAGTAGATGAATGTACAGTTAACTTTACAGTATCCCTCCATGCAAGAAATCTTCTGTTCCATGTGGTTGTTTAACTTCATAACTGCAGCGCGTGCAATCTAATTCAAACACAAAAAAAGGTGCAGGCCGAAACCTCAGAAGATCAGAAGAACAAGGGAAGCTATTGACGGATTTGAAGGACGTCGCCACTTCGGCTTCCCTTCATCCTTTCAAACATCCCTACCAGAGACTGAATCCTCTCACCACCAAGCAGGCAAGCCAAAATCATCACTCACAGTGCTGCGATTCTGCACATACTCTCTCATTTGCCAGAGCGTCCTCCGAACTGATATCGCTTTAGATATGAATTGCTGTTATGTTCAGCCTTACGTCGTCGTCAATAGGTCCGGTCGGCGGCACGCTGCCAAAAGCCGCGTTGGCCACCACGAGCGTATTCTTCTTGACAGCAACGGTAGTAGGGACGTTAAATCCGGATGATGTGATATTTTTAACGAATTTCGCAGACACCCGACGTCCACGGATGCTCAGCTTCCACACCGACACGCGGTTAAGACTGTTCTGGGTGACGTACAAGAGTGACCCACCCTTCATGCGCACGATGTCCAGGCCATCGATGCCTTCAGTAGTGCCATTAGGAAGGATTCTCTGCGCCTTGTTGCCGTTGAGAATGTCTATGAAAAAGGGTGCGGCAAGTTCTGAATTGGCGACGATGAGGCCACCCTTGTACTTTACGATCCCGTTCGCACGGAAGACACCGGCTTCAGGTTTGAAAGCCGGGGTAGGGAGGGGTATGGTTTCGAAGCGGCAACGAGGGAGAGCGGAAATGGATAACTTGTATACCACGCCACGGAACGAGTCTGTGTAAAAGGCAAAGTCTTTGTCGGCGATAACGTCATTGACAAGGCTGCCGCCACCTGTTGGACATGTGGCGATGGGTGTGCCAGTGGGGATATCGTAGACGTGCAATGCTGGTTCTACCCCAGGGAGAAAGGAGCCACCTCCGGCGACAAAGAGCCTGTCCTTTGATGCGTCAATGCCGCCGCCGATGCGGCCAGGGATCGGGGCCACTGCGGTGGTGACGAGGCCGGAGGCGACATCGACAAGGAAGATAGAGCCGGAGCGGATGTCCGCGGCGAAATAGTTGGAGCCACGGGCGAAGGTGACACCTTCCGGTTGCACCCCGGAAGGAAGTGGGAATTGGGTGGCGAGCGAGAGAGGGAAGAGGAGAAAGAGGAGAAAGGAAAATAGGGGCGTGAGAGACATTGTGAGAAGAATGGGATGCCAGCTGACGAACTGGTGCGAGAGCAGATGGCGACAAGGTTGAGGATATGGGGACTTAAATAGCGTCGAGGATGGGGGAGTATTGCAGCGAGACGGGGTGAGGTTAAGGAATGCGCCGCCAGTGCACTCGTACTGGACTTAAATAGCGTCGAGGATGGGGGAGTATTGCAGCGAGACGGGGTGAGGTTAAGGAATGCGCCGCCAGTGCACTCGTACTGGACTGCAGTGGACTTACTACGGTATGGCAGATCAGTTTTGTCCTGATGTGGCGGCAATTATTGTTGAAGAGCTGAAACTGGTATCTAGACAAGAGAGGACGTGGGGAGTTGTACGCAAAGCTGGCAATTCGCTGTAGACAACGATGCCGAAGAACGGAGAAAAGGCCATAACGCCAGAATGGCAGATTCTCTACGGGCATCTCTAGCCAGTTGGCATGTTCTCATGTGATGGTGACATTTTTTGCAGGAGGATTATGGAGGAATCAGAGAGATCTGTTGGACATTGGGCGCAACGACGCTGTGAGTCTCGCATTTCAGATCGATATCGTTTCCTTGAAATTTAATAAAACGAATGACCACAGTGCTCAGTACCTTCGAACTGTACCATGTTGCCGTGCTGTACTTGCTGTACTGTATCGATCGTGACGTGTGTGAGACAACGGCCTGGACTCCGGACTGAGCGAAGAAAAGGATGAGAACAGAGGGAACGGGATCGCAAGGAGAATGCCGCTTGCAATTGATCGGCTCATAGAAAAGGCACAAAGGGGAATAGACGATTGAAAGGCAGCGGCCGCGGCGGGGGTCTTATCCCCTTGATCACGCTCAACGAACGTCGATCCGCAATTAACAAAACCGAGTTGAGAAACGACAGGACCCGTTCTCGAAATGGGGCCACCGTGGTAGGTGGCTGCGGTAGGTGGCTACATGTGGGAGCTTAAACAAGTGACGGACGTCGATGACCCGGCAATATGTAATCGTCACCTCTCTCCCTCCTCTCGTCCGGCATGTGATTCACATCACATGATCACATGATGTGAAGCGCGCACTCGTCACGTACCATCGCGACAGATCCGTCCGTCCCTCTCCGCCACCATGGCGTCTCCCTCCCCTGCTTAACCTCCAAGACGCAAGAAACGCCCTTCAACTCGCGTGGCTTCTGCTTGCCCTGCCAGCCCCATCTCGACAATCACAGCGCCCCCCGCTCTCGCAGTTGGTTTGCACCTTTGCACCCTCCATCAATGCAGTATTCGCCCAGCATACTGCCCGCCATGCATGGCCAACTGCGCCTACTTTCGATTTCGTCACACCTGTCAATTATTCTTGCCTGACGTACAAGTAGGACGTACGGAATGTCCCGAAACGCTATTAGATTGTCGTGAAATGCGCACCAATGGGGTGCTACCAATACTGTTCATGGTGTCCGCGCCGGAGGTTGTAGAGTGTTGCCGCCAGCGCACGACAAGCACCTCCCTCAGGCGCTGGAGAGCAAGACCTCAATTGTTGAGGTCTTAAGACCTCGTCTGTCAGGCTACATTACAGTATTACAAAAGGCTCTCTCCTCCGCTGGTGACCAGCACCTGGACAGGGCAAGGGGAATGGAAGAGTGAGCATAGTTTATTTCTTTGCGGGCGCGTGTGGCGCCTGAGCCTCAACTAGTCTACTGAATGTTTCCGTCAACGTCTCTCTCGATCGCGCTATCGAAGTTAGCCCGCGCGAGAACTCCAAATCGCATCGCGGACTGCATGTATATATTTCCGCATCTCCATATTTTATTGCAATACTTCAAACCCACTCCAAAAGCAGCCGAATCGATATTCACACTTCACATAAATTCCACACCGCCTCAACGTCGGTTCTAAGACTACTCAAGTACAAAAAGGCATGTAAAGAGTGAGAGGCCTGATCTGTCCCAAAACGTTTTCCAAACCGTTTGTTCGATTGGATGTTCTGCGTACTCACAAGACACTTTTCATGTCTAACTTACCATTTCTGGGATTTGGTTCTTTCTTTGACACTTTTTGTATCGGAGTGGTCGCACATATAGATTTCAGGTCTCAGTGGGCGTCAGGCTGGAGAGAAGGACGGAAATTTACCGGCAAGCACGATATGTAGCAATTTATCAAGTAATGAATCCTTAGCGCCTCCTTGATTATAATAATAATATTTGCATAGCCACAAAAGCAGTTTCCATCTTCTTTTCGGCTTCAAAGTAACTTAACAGGCGAATCAGTCATATCACTTGACAGGCTTCCGCACTATAAAAGCGCAAAAGAAACCGAAAGGCATGGCGGCTCTATTTGACATCTTGTTCGCACCAAACACTTCTATCATATTTACTTATACTAATACTCATTCGAGACATTTGAAAAATGAAGAGATCTCGTTCACCTTCCACGACAAGCGATTTATCAGACCTCTCAAGTGGCAACTGGATGGGTGATGTGACAATACCCAGACACGTGCACACATAGCACACGTACCACACGCACAGGCTCACACCCGCCGGCGTGAGACCAGTAGACTTAGTGTTGAGAGAGCAGGTCCAGACAGTAAAGACTGCCCTATCGTTCCTGCACTACAGGTTATGGACCACACGCAAACACCCCTGCAAGACGATCACAGAACTACGGGAAGACATCCTCGCAGATCACCCCGTCACCGGCAAGGACACACGGCACCACCGCCCACCCCCGGCTGCCCAGTATACGTCCCCGGTTCAACAGAAGAGCCTCCACTAGCCAGTGTTGAGAGCCCGCATAACGTGCCTCCACCCCGTGTAGAGAGAAGAAACCACACGCAACCACGCGTTGATACCATTACACCAACAGCCATTGCCATGGCCAACGAAGAAGGAACCACCTCGACTGATCACCGGATCCAAGCCTGATTGCCGCCCCTCAGCCCCACTGGACAAACTTTCCCCTCATGGAGACAAGCGCTGAATAACATGGCCACCTAAATCCCTAAACCGTAAACCATCCAAGGAATGGAAAATGTACTCGATCCAACATAAACCACTCCCGATGAGACCAGCCCGCTGTATGCACCGTACAAACGCAACAGTGCAATCCTCCGTCTGGCGATCAACAACTCACTCCCGCCAACCTTTGCTGCCACTGCCGATCTTACACTTGACGCCTCACCCCTCCGCATGGCACAGAAGATCACAGAGCACTTTACAGACAGCACAACAACGGCGCACCTGCTGCTGAAACAAGAAGCAGAAAATACCAAGCTCACCCACAGCACAACGCTGGATGACTAAATCGCTCGCCACAGAGCCATTCGAACACGCATGCGAATGGCCAACTATACAAACAGTCATTCAGGAGAGGCAGCCACAGTTCAGTTCATCATTCAAGGACTATCGGCACACACAACGTACAAGCCCATCCAAGATACGTGGATTGAAAATGGCACTGTCCCAGACACAATTCAAGGGCTAGTACAACGACTTCAGTCAGTACACGCTCGCACCATGGAGCGCATGTCACAAAACAAATACGCACCATATGGCATGCAACAAGCAGCAACCACACCTCCCACCCCCTCATATGGAAGCCGCAACCGAGGCCGCAATCGCGGCAGAGGAAGGTACAGATCAGCCAAAAGGGAACACCAATGGAGTAACCCTGCTGACACCACCAGTCCCCACCTCACCCCCTTTACCTCAACACACACACCGGGCAAACCTCGACTCACTTGGAAAAATACAAGGGGCAATACGGCCAACATCACGCACGATATGGAACTGAACGACC